GCAGCAACTCAAAATCCTTTCCCCGTAATCGGTGACTTTTGATAATAGGCAGGAAATAAATTAAAATCACAATTAAAATAGCCCTCTCTTGGGGAAAGAAGTTGAAATCTGATGAATCAGACAGATAGTAACTGCAAAAATGGAAGCAGGAAAGGAAACTGGAGAGCAGCCAGGCGGTTCACGGTGAGGTGGACACCCTCGGAAGATGTGGTCTGTGCTTAGTTCTTATTTGTGACCTTCCAATCTCATGCCTTGCATTTCATTTGCTCTAATAAATACACATTGGAAAGATTGATAATTGTGTCACAGGAATAAGAATAATGTATAGCTGTGTGACAACTGACAATTCAGCTCAGCAAATGAAAAGGTAATTTCGGGGAAACTAAGTAAATATCTAGGAAGTACAGTTATTATTGAATGGGGAATGGAGAGGGCAGTGAAATAAAGTGTTCTGAAAAATATTACTCTTGGTGATAGAAGACATCCAGGCTTGAAGACAATACCCTGTATTTAAGGCAATTATGTAGCTTCTAATACTGTGAAAGAGGCACTGAATTGCTGATTAAGACAAACCCTACAAGCACCAAACCAACAATGGCATGACTTCAGCCTGTGTTTGCTGTCATTCTTTTTTGTGTCCACTCATGCAAATCTGTCCTGTTTCTTTTCTCTGAAACCCAGAATCTGAGCACAAATGCATTTATGGATAAAATAGTGTTATGCTGGTGTAGTGCCATCTAAATGATCTGGTCTGAAATGTGACCTCGGTCCTGTGAGCGCCTCCTGTAATTAAATGTCAGGATTGTTTCCCGTAAAATAATTTTGTCCCAGCTGCCCCAGCATTACCCGTCTAGCATAACTATATCTGCATATCAACGTGTACCAGCCAATGGGTTAAGCATTTCACATCTTATTTCATTTATTCCTCAAAAGAATCCTTTGCAATAGATACTATGGTAGCCATTTTATAAATGAGGCCTCCAAGGCACAGGATAGATAAGAAATTTGCCTACAATCTCACAGTTAGTAGGTAGTGGAGCCAGGATCGTCCTGTGCTCAAAGCCGGTGCTCTTGGCCTCAGAACCCCACCCCCTCTGGGCTTGCTGTTTCAAGGAGGCTGGATCTATACAACCTACGGCATTGTTGTCCTTCCCACTCATAGATCTGCCTTTCCTATGATATTGAAGTACTTCAGGGACAGAAGCATTTTTGTCATCTCAATGCGTAGTCTGATGACCTCATCCTACAAAAATTTCCATTTTGCAAAGCAGACTTTCTCACTAAAAGTAACTTTTTGCTCGGTTTTTAAACTCAAGTGAAATACAACCACCTCGATGCCCAGCAGATTTCCTGTCCCTGCCCTGCTCTTCACCTCCTATTCTCCCTCAGATCTTTGAGCTGTAGTCCCAGCACCCAGCTGTGTTTAGTAGCTGGATTTGTTTCTTGTTTCTTATTTTATATATTTTTGGTATATTTTGTGGATATGTTTTACATTTTGTCAGTCTGCTGCATTGAGACATTTTAACACTGATTTCAGGAAAATCTCCAACTTTTAGGGTTCTAATGCAGGTGAGATCCTTTCATCTGCATCTGTGTGAACTAGATTAGATCCAAGCAGAAAATTTTGTTGAGACTTCACTGCTTTTGTATATCTTCGATATGTAAAATTTTTACGTAAGTAGTTTAATTGCATTGCATTATAAATCTTTCCCAGATTGGGTACATATAAATTACATTTTTCCTTTGGAATTCAAATGTCTTTTAACATAGGACCTCATTGTATTAATAACCGTCCCCTTAAGAGCTCACTTTTTTCTTTCTTTTTTTTTTTTGTGAGGAAGATTAGCTCTGAGCTAACATCTGTTGCCAATCCTCCTCTTTTTGCTGAGGAAGATTGGCCCTGAGCTAACATCCGTGTCCATCTTCCTCTATTTTATGTGGGATGCCTGCAACAGCATGGCTTAATAAGCAGTGCATACTTCCGTGCCCAGGATCCGAACCTGTGAACCCTGGGCCGGGGAAGTGGAGTCTGCAAACCTAACCACTACACCACTGGGCCAGCCTCAAGAGCTCACTTTTTTAATGAACAAGGTTGAAAGACCTTCAAAAAAGGAAGGAGAGGATGCAAACCCAGTTCAGGGAAGCTATTTCAGAGAAGTTAGGACTCTTCTTGGGCTTCTCTAACCACCTCATAAGGTTGCAGTTTAACTTTTAGGAAAGTATCTAATTACTTTTCAATAAAATTTTTTTTCATGAGATTCCCGTCTTTTTTTTGAGGAAGAGTGGCCCTGCGCTAACATCTGTTGCCGATCATCATCATCTTCTTTTTTCTCCCCAAAGCCCCAGGACATAGTTGTATATCGTAGTTGTAGAGTTGTAGCTCTTCTATGTGGGCCGCCACCTCAGCATGGCTTAATAACCGGTGAGTAGGTCTGCGCCCAGGATCCAAACTGGCAAACCCCAGGCTGCCGAAGCAGAACGCATGACCTTAACTGCTATGCCACCGGGCTGGCCCCTCCTGTGTCTTAATTATTTAATTTTAATTATTAAAGCAATCCAATACTCAATATAAATACGTTTTCTCCTTGTCTGTTAAAAAAAAAAAACTTAAGTAGAAGAACTTAAGGTACTTTATATAAAGGGCTGGAAACAAACATTTGGGGGGAACAATGGATGGAAATAAGCAAAAAGTTCATTGAGTCCTTCTGTGTAGAAATTGGCCTGATTTCAGCCCACTACCAAGAGAATAGCCACAGGCTCAGAGAGCTTCGGTTGCTTGATACTACAGTCACCAGTAACTTTGAAATAATAATGCCCATTCTTGTAAGTCTGGATGTTGTTAAGGCATTTTACTGTTTAGAATCTTCTTATTTTGTTGAATTCCTTCTGACCTAAACTTTTGACTATTTAAATTAGCTTTTTAACCTTTTGGGGGATCTCAGATCACTTTGATAATCTATAGAAAGCAGGAGAAAATGCACATACACATAGACACACCAAATTTAGCATAAAATTTCAGGGAGTTCAAGGATTGTTGAACTTATTTGAAGACCCCTTTGAACCTATTTGAAGTGTTTTAAAGAGCTCTATGGCAAATTATGTTTTCACAGAGCAAACAACATTCTCTTTAAACAAAACTTGTTTAAGGAAATTGTGTTGTATCAAATGCTTTGTGGATCAAGGGTAGACTAAATGAACAGAAAATAAGCAAAATAAATGAATAAATAAAGTCAGGCACATGCATAAAACTCTCCAGATAGACAAACATTCGCACAAGGTATACAGTTATATCAATATTGCTTTACCAGCCTGTGGTAAGCTACTCATGTGGCTGACTCAGTATATCAACCTGCATTATATTAAACTAGACTAAAAAAATCCAATATTCTCTAATTTGAATATTCTAGCAATAACATTATCAATTTTAGGTTTTTAAAATGATAAGTATTTCTGTATTCTTTCAGAGTCAATTTTTACCTAGGGAAATTCAGATATTTTTTGTGATGGTCTCTGTAGCACATTCAATATCAAAATTCAGAAAGTATACTTGGTGTCTCAGCCTCTTTATTTCTAGAGAAGACAGCCATGTTTCTATTTAATATGTTTATTTATTAGCTCATAGTTGCCAGTAAATATTTGAAATCACTTTCAAATTTCTTGATATAAATCTTGATATAAATTACATTTCTCACCAAACTGAGACATGTTGATAGCTTTACAAGTTTTATAAAAGTATATTAAGAACCTTAAGTTCCTTTAAAACAAGATATCATGTGTGTCAAAATATACTTCTCAAAATGTTAAATATAATTCTCATATAAATTGGTACTGAACATATGTCAAGATTTCATTTAGTGCAACCAGCAGGCTGGCAAAGCCAGTTCAAAAAAGAGGAATGTGTATTTATCCTGTATCCATTGCTGTATCAATTCTATATCTATAAATATAAATTTTGGTGCCAGTCGTGAGTGAGACCATTTTTTTCCCTATCAGTTATTTAATTTGTAGAACCCATTCATATTAAAAGCTCCATATACCCAAGATTTCTAATAATGGATCCTTTTTGTCCTGGTAATTTTAGGCTGATGGTTCTACAACTTGAGCATACACCAGACTCACCTGAAAGATTGCTGGGTCCACCCCTACGGTTTCTGTAGACCTCGAGTGGCACCTGGGAATTTGTATTTCTAACAAGTTCCCAGCTGATGCTACTCTTCCTAGGTTCATAGTTTGAGAACCACTGATTTAAGCAGAGGCTTTGCCTGAGGATCGAGTGAGGCAGATTAAACCCCCAAAGAAGTCACTGCAAACTCTGATTTTCTTATTACTTCTCCCATGTTATTCCCATTTCCTTCTCCTCTCCCCTTCTGTATACACAAGGTCATCCACACCCAGCTGCACCCCAAGGGTGCTCCCTATATTGGAACACCTTAAATCCCTAACAAGGGTCAAATTCCCAGTGTCTTCCCCACAGAGACCTGGCCTCCCTCCTCACTTGTCCCATTTCTGTAAGTGATTTCAATTTCACTATGAGCCAGGGCTAGAATGCTCCAAATCATGTGTTATAAACTTGAATGTGCTTTTTATTATTTTTTTTAAATTTTCATCTCTTAATAGGGGAAGTTTTTATACCTATTGGAGAACCCAAATGTAAATAACAGCCAGCTGCCACTAGTTTCTCAGCTTCACAAAGGGAAAGAAATTCCCCAAAGGAAGTAAATGTCCCAAGTTATATAATTTATGAATGTTTAATGGAATAATTGAAAACCTTCTGGAAATTTTATGTGGGAGTTGTTTTAAAGTGCTATGTGAAGTAATTCGTTTCAAAGCAGAGTCTTTGTTTCTGTTTCTAGTAAAAAATGTGATTTGGTCTCTCACCAGTGCTTTGTTTAGGAAAGGATGCTCACTCTTAGAAATAGATGATATGGCAGAATGTGGAGTGAGGGACGCCCCTCAGGTCATTCAAATGGAGCCGTGAAGATGTGTGTGTCTCTTTCCAGGACCATGAAACCTCCTTCCCCAGGGCACTCTCAGCTCAGAGGCTCTCCCCTCGGTGGTGCTTTCTAGATGGTGAGTGTTTCTGTATTTCTTGGAGGGCTGGGGGTTGGGGAAGCAACAGGGCAAGACATTGATTGATAGAGTGACTCTAGTTTTCCAAAAGATTGTTCAGAAACCCTTCACATGGCTCCACGTGATTGGTATTTGCATCTCAAACGATGTGTACTTGCTGATGTTGCCACACAATTTCCTGAAGTCATTTTCCTCAAAGCAAGTTGATTAAGTTTGGCTGAACTTCTCAGCATCAAATTGCTCAAGCTGACCTCTGCCTTTCAGTTCCCCCCTTTCCCTAACACGTGTTGAGTGCCTATCTTAAATTTAGGCCGGTAGATGGATTCAATAAGCATGGGATGGGTACTAATTTGTATGTTGTTTGCATGTTATGGAACTTTCATATTATTTTCATTAAACCATCATTTCAGTAAGATGTATAAATTTTTATAAAAGGGTAGAAATTTTCAATTGCATTCAATTCTGCTTTGCTGAGCATGACATATTGAATGCGTAATATGTCAGTTATTTTTTGATTCGGTAATGAGTCCATTTTTCATGTCCATCTCTCACTCCCTAGATGCTGTCTAGTCCTACTTTTCTATCCAATTACTCATATTACAGTACATTCCTGTTTCTATGCCACCAGTATATCTGCTACCCAATATCTCTTTTGTCTATGTGGATACCCAGTTTTCAGTGTAGATCTTTCTTTTGTTTATCTGTGTATGCATCTGAGAGGATATAAATGTGGAATTGAGTATGACAGGATGTGTGAGTGTGAACAGTGTTGTGAAGGTGAGCGCTTGTATCTATATGAGATCTAACTCACATGAATCGTGACATCAGTTTTCATTAATGGCTTGTCAACTGCCTCTGAAGATACTTTACACGACTTTTCCTCCAGCTGCTTTATTCCCTAGTAATGAGAAACACATTCATTTGTTTCTCCTGAATCTGAGGAACAACTTACATTTAAGAAAATTATGACAATTTATATGACTTGTTCTATATACAGTCTGTTCTATATACAGTCTCAGATAAAATTACAACTGTGGATAATGATCTTAACCCAGATATTAGGTTTACTCTATAAATAGTTTCATTAAAAACCTTTAAAAGGTGGTTGCAGTCAGAGTTAAAAAGAACGAAGCAGTGTAAGTCCTTAGGCAGATTTTACTCTCCTGTTGCTTTTAGAGGGCAGGGACCATGATTGTCTTGTTTCTTAGCTCATTTCCCTTTGGAGAGAAGCTACTCATTAAATATTTATGATTTTCGAATGATTATTTGCATTTTGAGTTTTTCCCTCTAGTACTATGTACTTTGTAGAAAATCTATTTATAATATTTGGACTCTGTTAGATAGATTAGAGTGACGAAGAACATAATTCTTTTGAATATTAAGACTAATCAGAATAATTTCTACAAACCCATTGTTTGCAGTTAAGATTTTTTTTCTTAAACCATAGATGCAGCCCAATCCCTTTTAGAAATGCTTAAATAATTTTTTTTTTTTTTTTCTGCTTTGGCTTTCTTCAGACGTGGCTTAGGGACTCAGTTTTAAAGTAAAATAATTCCTTTAAGACCAAATGTGGTCCCTGGCTCTGCATCTTCAAGCTCTTTTCCAAAATGAGAGTCACTTGCTCAGCAAGTCTGGCTAACAACAGGTTTTTCCTAGCTTTACTTACTTAACAAATACGTTTTGAGTCCCAGCTCTGTTTAAGGTCTTGTGCTAATATCTGGAGACATACAAGAATAAATGAAACACAGACCTTTAAACAGGCAGATATCTTAGTCTCATAGTTATTTGTGAAGATAGTTTCTATGAGAAGTGTAGACAAAATACACTTGTGCGTAGAGGTAGGAGCAGTGAATTCTGGCTGGGATAGGGAGAATGAGACTGAGGAAGGTTTCACAGAGGAGGTGGCATTTGAGTTGGTCCTTAGAAGACAAATAAGTTTTAGATATGCAGATAGAATGGGGAAGTGCTCTCTAAGCAGTGGGATAGCAGGCAGAGGTATGGAAGTCCTGAGTTTTTCTCAATAGAATTAGGGACTGGCCAGTAGTCCACATGACCGCAATTGAAGGGTTTTGATTGACGTTGTAGGAGAGAAGGTTGTAAATTTGGTGCCAGATTACAGGACACTCTGAATGCCATACACATTTTTTTTTTCCCTAGCAACTTCTGCTGATCGCTTTTATCGAATAGACAGATCTCAGGTAAGTTTTCTTGAGCTTACTTGTGAAAGTGAAAAATTCCCGAGTAAATATACTTTATTGGTAGCTAATCTTACAATATTTTCTAACAAAAACACTGAAACATTTACAGATTTTGGAGTGGTACTCGTAGCCTAAGCTATGAGCTTTTAATTTGTCTTCATGTGTTTTGTGATCTGTGGACTCAAGATGATGTGGCTTGACCTTGCAAATGAGTACAGAAAAAAGGCTGTAAATATTATTACCAGCCTGCACTCCAAATTTTCATTCACACTGCTACTTCTACTGCTTCCTCGCCAAATATTATGCCTTTTTAAGTTCATTTTTGGCTAGCAAGTTTGAGTCCTCAAGTGTATATCTCGGTCAGTCACTTCATTTCAATTCATCACTTTCCAGGGTTCAGTAATGAGAGAAAAAGATGCTCATGTCCAATGATAACAAGTGCTCCCACAGTCCAAATTCTCCAGGAAAAAAAGAAAAAAGATCCAGTATGGAATCCAGTGATACAACCAGCTGTTAACCATGCCATCTAGCTTTGACCAGATCCCGGGGGTGGAAGTCCAAGTTATCATACACTCATGCGGGACCAAATTGCGTGTGGGGTGTCACTTCTTTGGTAGTATTTGGGAAGAAGAAGAGGCAAGACCAGCTCTGGTTATACCCAACCGGATTCTGGTCAACTAGGAATCCCAAACCAAGAGGGATTCAACTCTCCCCCTCACAGCCTCTTGCTACGGTGTTGTTTCAGGGAGGGATGTCCACTAGTCAGGCCTCTGACATACGCTGTGGTCACTTAACGTCACAGAATTTTATTTTTCCTCAAGACCAAGAGTGCTTTGTTTTGTTTTTCTTCAGATGATAGATTTGAGTATCCTGTCAGTCATCAGACACACTTCTTTCTCTTCCTTAGGAACATTTGCACTTTGTGATGGAGATTTCCCAAGATGAGATTTTTATTCTGGACCCAGATCTGGCGTTGTCACAGCAGGCAGGGACCCCTCCAGGAATGCCTGATCTGGTGGTAGAGCAAGCCTCGGGGTGAGTGTGCTTCCGCTTTGGTGGTGTGCTGGAGAGGCTGGCCGCAGGGTGACATCCATGTCTGGTTTGGCTTTGGACTTGACATTCTAATTATATCAAACTATTTTAAATACAGATTTCCTTGTTGTGTTTCTTTAGAGTGTAGTATAGCTGGTTCCATTAAAAGTCTGTCTTACGAATGGCGGTGTAGAATTACTCTTCCCCACCCAGATTGGTATCACGTCTGAGCTTTCTTTACCCATCACACCCACGCTTCCTACCAAATTAGAAAGCTCTGGTATTTGCATTTGTGCATATACATCTGTACTGCCTGAGTTATCCAAATAAAAATTGACGCAGGTGGTTTGACAATTATTTTTCTCTTCCTTTCTCTTCTCCTTCCTCCTCTTCTCCTCCTGCCCCTCTTCTTCTTTTTCTTTTTTTCCTATATCCAGGCAGCCTGAGACATATACATTGTATAATAATAACTATGACATATCAAGCACTTATTATGAGCCACATACTGTGCTAAAGTCCTTTCTGTATCCCTACTACCGTTTGGTAGTGACTTTATCATGTTAAGTGCTCTTTGTTTATTTCCTCGTCTGTAAAATGGAAATAATAATACCTACTCATAGAATTGTTTGAAGATTAAATGAATTAAAACATGTAAAATATTAAGAATAGTTCTTGGCATTTGGTAGATGCTCATTAAATTATGTTATTGAAATCATCATCATCTTTTCAGAATGACCCTACATATTTGGTACTATTATAATCCTAAATCCATAGATAACAAAATTGAGGCTTAGAGAGTTTTGTAACTTTCCCAGTATTGCACAGAAAATAAATGGAAAAATAGAGATTCAGTCCCAGGTTTTCTGATGCTGGAACCCAGGCATTTAACCACTACATTGAACCACTAAAATATTATTAATATTTCTAGGTTATTTCAACAATTCAAAAATATTTATTTAGAGAAATTTTTATGTGCCAAGTACTAGTATGTGCACGTGGGAAACAACAGTGCAAAAATAAAAACAAACAAGAATCTCTGCCCTTGTGAAGTCTAATGAACATCAGTGGTTTACTGGTATATGGAGACTAAATAGTTAAAATAAGGATTTCCCTGGAAAGCAGACACATGCACTCAAACAGTATATGCAAATTGTGTACACATACTTAAACACTATAAACAGACATATTCACTGGAGATGACCCTTATAACTGTTTACCCCTCTTCACTAATTCATTTGACCATTGCTGCTATTTCTGAGTATCTTCCACGCTGCCAGGGCCAGCTGATATCCATGGCATGTATCAAATCTGTGGGGCAGTCAAGAGAAGACAGAAGTAGCAGGATGGAACAGCTACGTAGCTGTGTGTAGGAAGCCAGAGCTAGTGGTAGCAGATGGTCCTGGCATGAGAGGAAAGCCGACAGGCACAAAGGACGGCCTGATGTAACCCTGGGAATCCCAGGAGGGGTTGGAGAAGGCCATCTTCGCAGACCATATACTAGAAATCGAGCCTGTCAGTTGCAGGGAGAGCAAGTGAGATCTGTGTCCTACTGCAGAAGCTGTGCGTGCTAGAGTCTAGGCATCCTCTCACCCCACCCGATCTGGGCTCCAGTCCTTGATCTGATGAAGAGTGAACGCATTCTGCCAAGCTTGCCCTGGGCTTTGCCCTCTCACTCATTCTTCCATGCCAAATAATGGTCAAAAGAATGACTTTTTCCTGGGTTAGAGCTCTATTAGCTTTAGCTCAAGAAATAGAGTAGCCCGAACATTCACTCAATGTTGAATCAGTCTCTTTCTTATTTCTTATCAGTTGCCTTCTCTGGAAATAAATTAGGAACAGGGAAGCAATGAAAGAGGATGGACTTTGTTATTTTCTAATCTGCATTTCTACATCAGGCTCCATTACTTCTTACTTATGTCATATATAAAATTACCTCATCTTCAAATTCAGTTTTCTCCTCTGTAAAGAGGGCAGAATCATACAAACAGTTCATGATGGTTGAGAAAATGAAATGAAATAATAAATGTGGAGTACCTAGTAAATACCCAATAAAGATTCATTTTCCTTCTCACATTTAGAGACAAGAATCATCTTTAGAAAGAGTAGAATAAGTCCGGTGGCTGACTTTGAATGCTTAAATGTCTGATGCCCTTCTTTCTCCCAGAATGTCAGACTGGTGGAATCCTGCCCTGCGGAAACGCATGCTGAGTGATAGCGGGCTGGGAATGATAACTCCGCATTATGAGGACTCAGACATGAAAGATCTTAGCCACTCCCGTGTGCTACAGTAAGAGCTCTCTCTCTCTGTTCTTTTCCTGAGCGCCACTGTGATTGCTGGGAGAGGACTGCATGGGGTCCTCACCAATGGTAGGGCTTCTCTTTTCAGTGGTGCTCAAGCTGTCTCAAGCTGTGTCACCCTGTGGTTTGCCATTTTATTCACCTTGCTCATTTTTATCCACCCCAAGCTCCTGATGGAGCTTCACTTTCCATTTCTCTTGCTCCTGAGCCACACTGAGACCCTGTGTGTGGATCTGTAAATACTTTCAACCTCACCAGTGTGTGCTTTACCAGAAACCAGTGTTTTCCACATGTCCCAGTGTTTGCCACATCGTGAAGACATGCGTGAGAGTGATCATGAATAGTTTGGAAGTGACGTATAGTTTTTCGTTTGTGGGAACATTTTGACTTGCTGTTATAGCTCTCTTTCATTTGTCTCCAGTCCTGAGCCTGTGGATGTATGCTGTATGTAATATTGCCAAGTGGTTTTGTTGCCTAAAGTGGAGTGTTGCTCGTGTATGGTTTCAGTCTCTCTGGGTAAACAATGCAGCATGTGTTCATAGATCAGAATAGTAGATCTGATCATGGTCAGAAAGTAGGATGAATGTTGGAGGTTTACAGCAGTGTTAGTACATTTGTGTCCGGTGAATCTTCCCTCCTGTCATTGCTCATTGCAGGAGCAGGTTCTAGGGCAGTCTGTGGTCATGGACACACTCATTTTTACCTACTGTCTGACTTAGGCAAGTCACCCGTCTCAGAGGTTATACAAGTTCATTGCAATTCATGAAATTAGGCTGATTTCCAGTCCTATCCGAGGTGCTAATCCAATAGGGACAATGGCTTGTAACCATGCGTTCTTACCACTTTTACAAAATAACAAGATTACTAAGATTCTGAGAAGCCTAGGGTTAACTGAAGAGGCAAGACAATGCATTGTTTCTAAAGGAAGACCGGAAACAATTTCAGTATGACAAAAGGGAGAAAAATGAGAAATCTGAAGCTAATTGTTTCGTTGGTAAAGGTTCTCCTCCGACACCCCAAGGGCAAAAGGCGACTTCATTTTAATTGCTTCTCTGTACTACTTCCTATTTTGTTGTGTGAAGAGTGGAAAAGAAAAAGTGAATTACTGTGGATTTTCCTTTGTAATTAAACCATGTTGTTAGTTTCTGATAGCATTTTGATTGCTTACAATCCAGAGTGTTTTTCCATTTCTTTTTTATATGGAATTGAGGCTTGTGAACCAGGGTGAGTCATCGGTCCATTGATGGCTAAAAAAGTGACCATCTAGCTGTGGGCAGATTTATTTGAAAATTAGAGTTTTAATTAGCCGCAGAAATAGAAATGAAGCCTAGACAAACCAGATGCGTGTTTTAGTTGTCCTTGTATACAGGCTATTCAAGAAGTAGAGGATGGTTTCAATCTGGTTTCCTCTGCTCTGTTTTTTCTATATGTAGTATATTAATGTAGATGTCCTCATATGTGGAGTGATTTTTTCTAAGATGGTAAATATTCTTCCTGAGAATCACAAATAAACGTACCACTTTATATAATAGCCAAATTCTTAAAACTCATATCAAAATCAACTCTGACTTTTTATTGGGGTTATATTATCCTTTCAGGGATTTCTGTTAATTCTTGATTGATCTTCCATTGGCATCTATCAGTTTTCCTGGTCATTTATATTACCTTAGTTCTTAAATGCGCTAAAGCAGCTGACTCTTTTTAAAAAGTTTTTCTGCCAAATCACTTAGAAAACAAACAGAGTAACATTCAAGCGTTCACCTCTAGCCTTTGTGTCTTTCCAGCTGAATCTCCAGACATCTCAGAACAGAGACAAGTTGTCCCTACTGGCTCTGTCTGAATCCTTGACTCAAAGAATACACGAGCATAATAAAATGGTTGTTTTAAATCACTTTAAAAAGTAAATACTTTGCCTTACCCCAAGTTGTCTATTAATTCTTTAAAAAAATTTTGTGTCAGTAATTCCTTAGGAAGAACATCTCTTTATTTCCTTCAGAGATCATCTCTGATACAAATAGGTCTAGTTGCAGTTATGGAATAATGTAATTATATAACATATTATATAAATATGTAATATATAATAATGTCAGTAATAGCTAGTATTGGTAGAATACCTCCTACTTGCTTTGTACCGTAGTTAAACTATCTTTAATTCTTTCAACAACTTTTTAAAACTCACTATTGCTTAACCAATGAGTAAACTAAAGACTCAGAGTTCAAAATAGTCATCTTAGATCACCCAAGATAAGAAGTGTGGGAACTGTGGTTTGAATGAGGTTGGCGTGACTTCTGAATCCATGATTTTTTTTTTTTTTTTTTTTTTTGCGAGGAAGATCAGCCCTGAGCTAACATTTGCCAATCCTCCTCTCTTTGCTGAGGAAGACTGGCCCTGGGCTAACATCCACGCCCATC